TGCAGATAATCAGTCCTAATTTTCTGTACTGTAAATCTTGGCTGCTATGGAACAGAAACCTAACTACCCCTGTAATGGATACCAAAACCAGAACCGTACTCCTTAAAAATGCAAAGGAAGGAAGAAGAATCTCTGAAGCCATTCACTAATATCATGATTTATGTTTAGTCCAAGGAAATAAAACCAAGAGCAAAATGCATGGCAACTCTACTGCGGAGTGCTCCGAGCCGAGACCATGAACGCCACCAGAGACCTCCCAGGTGCAAAAAGGAAGGGAGCCAAAGAAACAGCTAGGGAACTTCTCACAAAGGCGGAGTGGGAGGTGAATTGTGACATCACATTGTGACCTCATGTCAGAGGTCACAGGATGGAGGGAGTAGAAGAGAGAATTTCAAAGCATCGTCAATAATTTGGATGAAGGTTTAAAGAGAACTAAGTATTCAGAGTCCAGTTTAGATGTTAGGATTGGATAAAGAGAGTTTTCTACTAAACTTTGTTTTTAAGACTCCATAAAAATAACACATTTTTGTTGGTTTTACGTGCCTGGTTAGTCTTTTACATTGAGCTTTCACCACGTGCACAGCCCTCCACCGTGCTAAGCACTTTACATGATTTATCTCTTTTAAACACCCAGGACCCCATGACTGAGGCAATTTTATCTCCCCATTTCACAAATGAGGGAATTGAGGCACTAAGAGGTGAAGTGATTTTTACCAGTGTCATTCAGTGATGACATATAGTATTAGGACCAATTCCTCATCAGCCTGACCCTCTCTTATAGTCTGCAAAAAATTAGGGTTTGTTGAAACCAATATACAGACAGAATAAAATTATTCTGGCTTTAAAAATGAAAAGGGACACAGAGTATAGGGAACCTCCTTGGTTGGGTTTATTTGTAGGGATTTGGTTGTTTTTGATGTAATGGAAATGTTTGTGCCAGTTATAAAATTCTGGTTTTTGAAGTGAAAAAAAAAGTGAATGAAGGGCCACAAATGGCAAAAT